GGAGGAGACCAACCACACTTCTTCTTTCTAGTGAGGTAGAGTTACAGTGCCCAGATATCATAGAAAGGGACTTCTGCCTCTTTTGGACCAGTCTTTTCCCGCTCTGCACAAGTTAGCTTGTCTGGGACCCATATGAGAAAACTTGTGCCCTTTTTTAACCATCCTGCCCTACACTGGACAAAATACCAGCAGGTTTGGAAGAAATGGACCCACTCATTTCTTTTGAGTGCTGTTTCCAAAGCCAGACCCAGACCTTTTCTGAGGATCTCATGTGGATGCCACACTAACTTATACAAAATAAGGAGCATCCTCACTTAAGGGGACGAGTTTCCCATGGAGCTGTGGAGATCTTGCCTTCCTCACTCCTAAGGGATTCTAACACACTTGGGCAACACTGATCTTCACCCTGGGTCCTTGCTCAACTTTCTGTTTCAGCTGAATCTTGAGCAGATTTGTGACAATCTTGCCCCCCTTCTGGCCTCCGCTTTTCTTTCCTGACTTGTTTCTTATATTCCTAAACCAACCATTCTCCTTAAGTAAAATCTTTTAAAAGCCCCAAGACTATCTTTGTACAGTCAGACTAACTGGGATTGTTGCTGTCACCTGATTGTATCATTCTGTAGTGTTGGCATCCGTGTGTCCCAACGTGTGGGAACTCACAAGGGTGGGAGCTACGGTGTCCTCCTCTCTCTGCTGTTCCCTCAATTCCCAGCATTTCCCAAATGGTGGCTGATGACCACCTGGTGGTGTAGCAAGGAGAGGATGCTTTTACTCTCCAGAGCCCCCTACCATACCTGCTTCTTGACATGGTCGATCTCGGATCTCAGCCTCTGGATCATGCGGTTGATCTCAGCAATCTCCTGCTTGGTGTTGCGCAGGTCATCCCCGTGTCTGCCTGCTGTGATTTGCAGCTCCTCATACTGGAATCCAGAGAGAGAGAGAGAGAGAGAGAGAGAGAAGGCGGTGTATATGGGCTTTCACATACTAACGGTGCTTTGACTTCAGAAGCAGGCATTTAACACACTTGGACCTAGTGGCTTCTCCCCAAGGGATTTTAGGGAAAGTTGATGTGGCAAGGTCACTGGATACTGTACATTGATCACAGACCCTCTTTCTAATGGACCACTGACTGCCTAGTTCAGTTGGGGACCAGCAATGTCCTGTATCCTGTTTCTGAGGGCCAGCATCAGGATGAAGACAAAAGCAAAGATCACTAGGTCCTTATCTATGTAGTTCTCCTCCTGCACTTGGGTTCTTTGACCTATTGAACTTGGACATAAATTCTGTAATTGCCTGCTCTATGAGTGCAGGATACACATCCAATGAGAAAACATCAGCTTCCTTGCAGCCAGCCGACTTCCCAGCGAAGTCTGTAGCCTTGCTGGCGTTCAGGTAGGGGACCCAGGCATTCCTGGGCAGCTGTCAACTCAAGGCTCACCTTGCTCTGGTACCAGGACTCAGCCTCAGCCCGGCTCCTCTGAGCGATCTCCTCATATTGGGCTTTGACTTCAGCGATGATGCTGTCCAGGTCCAGGTTACGGTTGTTGTCCATGGACAGGACCACAGAAGTGTCTGAGACATGGGTTTGCATCTGAGCCAGTTCCTGCAGAGCAGAAGATCGTCAGATCATCTTTTCCCGTGGCATTACAGAGGTATCCAACCCCGAGATCTTCCACCCTTTGCAGAGCCCCATCACAGCAAATGAAAGAGGAGTGGAGATGCTTACTGCGTCATACAAGGCTCTGGTGAAGTTGATCTCATCTGTGAGAGTGTCTACCTTGGCTTGCAGTTCAACCTTATTCATGTAGGCAGCATCCACATCCTGGGGAATAAGCCAACACCTTGGAGTGAGTCAGCTGAGCCCTCCTTCCCAGTCTGAACACCTTATAGTCTCCCCATCTATTCCCCTCTGGATGTGTGCAAAGACCCAGAGTCCTCTCCCTCTACAAAGGAACACGATCCCCAGATCTTTATCAGCTCACCTTCTTCAGAGTCACAAATTCATTCTCTGCCGCTGTGCGCTTGTTGATTTCATCTTCATATCTAGAATTAGAACAGGGTAAGACACAATTGGGCCAGTGGCGAAGACGATACAGCAAGATCAGCCTGGGATCCCAACTTTCCATAAAACAGATACATCCAAATTGAGCTTTCCTGCCATTGAGCCACAAAAACGATTTTTGGGTGCTCCCTCAATTCCTCCTATCTCTTCTCTCCCCATCCACCTCTGTGGCCCATTTGTTCTTTCGGGGTTGTTTTTAGGTAATAATTGTGATTTTCCTTTCCATGGGCCTGTTTCCCTATGGAACCATGCCCACCTCTGGACCTGGTCACCTGGTAGTCTTCAAGTGTGCACTTCAGGGAACTGAGCCCCTTTCTCTCCTTGAACTCACTTGTTCTTGAAGTCCTCCACTGTATCCTGCATGTTCCTCAACTCTGAGTCCAGGCGGCCTCTCTCCCCCAGGATGCTGTCCAGCTGTCTCCTGAGGTTGTTGATGTACTGCTCAAACAAGGGCTCCAGGTTCTGCCTTACGGTCTTGGTGCCCTGCTCCTGGAGCAGAGTCCACTTGGTGTCCAGGACCTTGTTCTGTTGTTCCAGGAACCGCACCTGGAGGAAGACAAGGTGGTTACTTGCCGGAGAAAGCAAAGGAGAAAGAGATAGGAGTTGTCAGGTGCCCAGGCATGCCTGGGATGTCACCCAGCTCCTGGGCTGCTACAGAGCATGTACAGAGGATCAGGCTGACAGTGTTGGGCCCCCAAACCTATTTCCTTCCCACCCCAGTGATCCTGCTGTGAAATTCTTCCATCACCTATGAGGTTTTCTCACCGGCTAAGCTATGCAGCCTATCAGTGACATTCAGCATTTCTTCTGTTTTCATGGAACAGCACAATCACACATTTCCTTGTTACATTGCACAAAGTTCTTTTTAAATCATACCTCAGTTAAAGGCATATTAATTGTGCAGAATCTAATGACTAAGTCCAATTTAGTCAATGATTGGATTCCAATCACTGAAACTTCTGTTTTGGTCCATGGTTCTCCTCTGCAACAAACGTTCTAATCGTCATGCTCTGGTTCTACACAGTTAGTATTTCTATGGATATATAAATGTTCCGTCCAGGCAGAAATCCCTTTCTTTTCTTTTTCTTTTCACTCTTTTCCTCAGGCCCAGAGTCCTCGAGGAGATTTCAGTCTCTAGGACTGTTCAGAAGGTAAAGCTAACCCATTCCGTTCTCTGACTGCCTTATTTTGCTTCATGCTTATCAAAAGTTGAGTATTTTTCCCTGGCAGGGATGA